CACTATTTATCAATCTGTAATAAAAGACGTGAGGAAATTCTGTCTTTTTTAAAGGCAAAAATTTTTGAGGCGAAATACCCAAAAAGAAGTTTGTAAAGAATGATTCGTCGCGCCGTTTTTATGCTTCAGGAGCGATTAACCCAGATTATTTCCTAGCAATCTCCAACTTAAACGGCGAATATGTGATGATGTTGCTGGAAAACGAACAAATTCTCTCTGTGGCCGTGCAACCGTCCGCAGGGAAGATATTCTGGATTGGCAGGGAAAATGGATCAGCGCATCTGGAAAGCAGCGGAATGGACGGCTCATCGCGAAAAATCCTCGTTCCAGATGTGGGCGACGAAGCCAAAAGTCTAGTGGTGGACTTGGAAGCCAATCGGTAACTTTTCCCTCAGTGACTTCATTTAGAGCCGAATAAACTTCGGGTGTTTGTTGCAGACTTTATTGGGTCAGCGACTCGAAAATCATCTACTCCAAACTGGACGGAACAAATGTAGTAAAACTGAACCTTCCTGCGAATGCCACAGTGACTACAATTGCCGTATATAAGAAGAGCATTTATTACGCTGATGATGTGGATCACTCGATTTATGTGGCCGATAAAACAACGGGAAGCAGCTCGGCTAAGGCTCTAAGAAATAACACCAGCGGCGTTTTGGCTTTGCGAATCTACGACCCTGCAGACCAAATAGGCTCACACGTTTGCCAGCAGCTGAACGGAGGTTGCGAGCACCTTTGCCTGCCCAGATCAGAACTTTCCTATGTATGCCGATGCGCTTTAGGTAGAAAATTGCCAATTTCCCAGCAGTTTGACGATTCTAAAACAATCATGAATTGCAGGCTATCAGCAGGACCCATTGAACGACCACAAGTGCATTGGAATCGACGATTTTATATTTTTCTCGCTCGGCTGGGAGTTGCAGGGGCGCCCTTTAAACGGGTCAAATGCCACGAGGGTTTTGGGCCCGATTTCAAGGGTCAGCATTAATGGCGTTAAAGCTTCTTTGAACAGTTTAATTGAACATTAAATTGGGTTTTTAGGTGTCCAGTGCGGCGCCCATTGACTTCATTGCCAGCAAAGATTTGCTGTTTTGGGCCGATACTGAACATGGGCAAGTCACCAAGATGAAAAGAGACGGTATGTTGAGGACTCGAGGAAATTTTGTATTTTTGCCGTAAAATGCAGGGTGATTCAAAATTGGCGTCATCCTTTTAATGGTAGATGGGGGCCCACTTAGAGAGTACGAGAAAATATTCAAACATTTTTTTCCGAAAATTTCAAGCGGATATTAACAGTTGAAAATCGAATTTTAACTTTGTTATTAAGCATTATTTTGAAGAGGTCTAACATTGGATTGTTAGTCTATTGGAATACTTATATTCGTACAATATTGGCTATATGCAACATACTGGATGGCTCAATATTGTTAATAATTATTGCGCCAATATTGAAATGTGACTATATATATATATATTTCTTTTTAATTAAAATCGGATAATAAGAACATGTTATGAGTTTTTAAAACTTATATTCACGTGTATATAAGTTTTTAAAACTCGTAACAAGTTCTTATTATCCGATTTTAATTAAAAATAAATATATACATTCACATTTTCCGACTAACATTTTCACTTCAAATTTAAATGAATATTAAGATATTGTATGACTGCAAAAGAGATTTTAACTTAACATTCAACCCTAACAATGACATATTATTATCAATTATTTTTTTGTGAGGAATCGGAATATTAAATAAATAACAAACATTTTCTATCACGCGCACATCTTATTTTTATATCGGTTCCTAGAAATAAAATAAACTCAGATTTTACTAAAATTGCAAAACAAATAATGGCTATTTGTCTACTTGTATGAAACCATTATTAAACGAAAAAAAACTCACCGGCCTGGACTCTTCCACCCTCTCTATCTCCAGCACTAGCCAGGGAAAATCCGAAAACTCGAATAAAGCTCAGAGTTTTATATACGTACGGCTTGTATGGATTATAAGCAACTGTACAACAAATACATGCCATCATGAATTTACATGAGGGCATGTAAATAATTGTGAACTTATTATATAAAAAAGAGTAGGCAAAAAGATACCCATCACTATATTTATGTAATAATAATATGTACTTACATGTTGAGTTACAGATTATTGCACAAAATCAGGCACAAAACACCGAAGTATGTAACTATTTACTATTTA